TACAAGGGCAAATCTTCACCGCAGATGTGAAAGGAGAGGAAAAAGTGTCTTGCTGGAAGAGCAAAGGGCTCGTTAGCAGGTCACACGGTGGCTCAGCCTCTGTCCTGCTGGCAGAGGTGCACAGCCCAGCCAGGAAAATCTCCATTCCACCTTTTAAACTCTAACCTGTCATTTGAGATCCGAATACTTTCCAGCGAGTTTGAGGCAGGTTCAGTGTTTGCAAACACCACAGCCTGCTTCACGGTAGGCAAATAAAGGCAAGGGAGGGATATGGGGAAAGCCCCTCTGCAAACTCCCTGACGGGTAGCTGGCTACAAAATCCAGAGGACAATTTGGAATAGGCTGCTGAGAGCAGGAACAGGACAGGTGTGATCTGGAGAGAGCCTGAGAATGATGTGGGGACAAAGAGAGAGATCCAACAGCTTGCTTTGGATCCTCGCGATTTCCACAGGGTAAGTAAACGCACATGGCTACCCTGGCTTCCCCAGAAAGGCAGCATGCCAGCAGCAGCCACTGACCCAGCAATATTTGAATCACAGACATTACGAGCATGCCATTTCTATCTGCGCCGTTTCCCTATCTCCAGGGCAACTGCCTTCAGCAACTGTTTACTGAGAGGAGAAAAAGCCAAGTTTGAGGAGTTGACTTAAACATGACCAAGGGCTGGATTTCTGAGATACACCCCTGAGAGCCTACCCATGGTCTGCACCTCTCCCCGCTCCTCCCAAATTGCTGGGGTTAGAGGGGAGACAAGGAGATCCGCTGGAGTCAAGGAACTTCTATCCAGCCAGGATCATATCATCACGGAACAATCACTTTGGCAGAATCTCCCTTAAGCGAGTGCTAAGTATCTGCTAACTGCTGTACCGAAATTGAAATAATCCCCCTTTTTAAAGTCTATTATTTGCTAGAAAGCAGAACCTAACGCCAGGGGTGGGTCGGTCAGAAACCAATCCTTCTAGTTAGAGTTAAAAGAGATCTTTTTTCGATTTGTACAATTGCTTCAGCCACATTAATAAACTGATTAGGGCACCCAGGTGACGCTGGCCACCAACCCGAACGCACAGGCCTGGGAAACACCCGGCTCCAATTCTGAGAGCCCTGAGCCAGCTGCCTCTTCCCAGCAGTTCTGGGAGAAGATCAAGAGTCCGGGATAAGAAAACATCGTTCTCTGGTCCTGGAGCAGAGAAAAGCACCTCTCCTTCCTCCTGCCATCCCCCATGGTGAAGTCTCGATCCTTTGGACATAAGGCCACGAGAGTTTTCCTAGTGGCTCTGACTACAAGACTACAGACTGACCCTGCATTAATGGCTCTGCCAGCATGCTGCTTCTAAGCAAGGAAAAATTCTCACTGTCCTTAAAAAAAAAAAAAAAAAAAAAAAAAAAAAAAAAAGACCTCTGGCTGTGAAAGGAAGGACAACTATTTACTCCAGGCCCCCAGGGAAAGGCAGCACAGGGGTTCACATCACCAGCAGGAAAATTAGGGTAGAAAGTTTCCCTCCTCATGTCTAAGAGGAGAAGTCAGGGACTGGAGCAGCTGCCTCACACCCAGCAGTCTTCATCCCCGGGGACAGAGCTTGTTCTGTGGTGAAAGGACACGTGGCAGGATGGGTCCCCCCGGTCCCACTTCACAAAATCACCCTGACCTCTGCTCCCACCCCTGCACCCTCCCTGCCCTGACCAATCCACCAGAGAACAAGAAAATTTCCTCAGCGCTGTTCCCACTTCCCTCTGCAGCCTCCCTCATCCCTTGCTAATCCACAGAAGTTACCTAACGCCAGGGGTACGGCGAGGATTAGTTAATGTTTGTGCAGCTTTTCCAAGATAAAAGCTACGCGAGATCTCACCTTTTATTATTGATGCACTAGTCAACGGTGCGAGGCTGCATGTATGTGGGGGAAAAAATTCCTTCCCGAACCCTGTGGCGATCACTTTACAAGCCAAAGCAGGGGATTGTGTTACCGCCTGGGAGCCCTGAAAACCAGCTGGGACCTTCACCAGTCCAAAAAATAAAACCCCAAACAAGGATGCAGTTGGTAGCTCGGAGCACTGCTGGCAGGGGCCGGGCAATCCCTGCTCCTGGCAGGGAGCCCTCTGACCTTCAGGGACACGAGGGACTAGTGCTCACCAAGTCAGGCAGCCCCGGCGCTGGGCTTCGAGCCGCCCCCCCCAGAACCTGGATGTCAGCGGGTCCCTACGCACCAGCCTGCACACACCCTGCCTGTCCCCTTACCTGCCTGCTCTGCCCGCCCAGCGCGTACCGGGAGGCAGCGGGGATTAGGAAGCAGGCGTTTGCCAGTGCCAATCCCAGCTTTACTACCAACCGGCTGTGTGACCTTGGGCAGGTCATTTCACCTCTACAGCTCTTTCCCCACTTCCAAAAACGCACGTCAAGTCATGCCTTCCACCCGCGACCCACCGCGCTTCCAAGTGACAGTCCCATGGGGCTCTGCGCTCCGGTCTCCCCATCAGCATCAAGCAGGGGAGGGTTCAGTATTCCCAGTTTACAGAGTGGGAAGACGAGGCCATTCACACCTCCTCTCCATGCTTAAGGTCAGGTCAGGGAGGCACCGGCCGAGCTAAGAATAGACCCAGGAGCCCTGTCCCAACCAGCTGCTCTGCTCTGACCGCTCTTGGGCAGAGGATCCATTTTGTGCCTCGATGTGTTATTTTAACCATTTACAGGAACCACGGCAAAGCTCAGCTCCGCCAGCAGCCACACTCCCCCCCCCCCCCAGATCCTTCCTTCACCCCCTTCCGCCGCAGCGAGACCCTGCACGCCTACAGGCGGGCGAGATCAGGCCCGAGCTGAGGTCGGGGTGTGCATCCACGTGCCTCGTGATTAGCGTTACACAACTGAGCCCCGGCACGTTAGCGGAGGCCTCGGCAATGCAGGCGAGTTACCTGAGCACCGTGACGCTTCCCCTCTTCACGGGCAGGAAGAGAACGGGCTCCGAGACCCTGATGGGTTTGAACTGGAATTTACACCCGAAGCAGAGCGCCGAGTCGCTGAAGAAGGAGACGGAGACGATGGGCCTCTCAAAGATATGGATGGGGTCCACGTGGGAGACAATGCAGCCCCCCGGCTGGTAGTCGTTGATGACGGCACTGTTCACAAAGCCCTCGGGGATCACCCGGTGCTCCACCAGCTTCCTGATCACCAGGTCGTGCACCCACTCGGGGATGGCGTCCACCTCCCCCCGTGGGTACAGACGTTCCTGGCCGGGGCCTCGTCGCTGCAGCTGAGACCCGTAGGTGTAGCCCTCCCCAAAAAAATACTTGTTCCGCAGCGGCGCCCGATCCACCGTGTGCTCCTTGTAGAGCCCCTTCTCTGCCCGGGATACCACGTCCTCGATCCGGGCTTCGATCTTGGCGCACTCCTCGGCGCTGAAGAGGCGAAGCTGGCGGATGCCGCTTTTGACTTTCCGGGCTTCTTCTTCCTCCTTCTGCTCCTCGTAGTCACTGGGCTCGGAGCCGGAATCCTCCTGGTGCCGGCGTTTGCGATCGTAGGGGGGTTCGGGGGGCTCCC